TATCTTTCAAAATTGATGATGAAATAAGGTCTTTCCATGATAAAGAGCACCTTAAGAAATTCATGGCACCAAATCAGCACTCCAAAAAATTCTTAAGGATGTCCTAGAAAGAGATACTAACCTCTCCAGGTAAAGACAATGACTGTCAGAAAGTCTGACAGCTTAAACAAAATGCCAGTATATTCTGTTTATGAGAGGTTTATCTAAAACAAAAGAAAGTTGAAAATAAAAGAATGGAAACATAAAACATGCCAAATATACACTATAGCAGTACTTGTGTTCCCAACAGCCAAGAAGGAGCTTAAGATAAAAAAAACTCATTCTTTATTGATGTCAAAATACCAATTCGTTGTCAGGTTCACAGACAGGGAGAGAGGAAGGCAGGGAGGGAAGGGGAGAGGGAGAGAGAAAGAGAGAGAGAGAGGAAGAAAAGGAGGAGGAAACAAGAGGAGGGGACGGAGGGGAGGGAGGAAGGATATGGTGACCCTGGCTTTCTAGACTGCCAGAAGGTCTCACAGTTTATTTCCTCTCCTGCCAGGGAAAACTAGAGTACCAATGGGAATGACCAAGGGAAATTTGAGGTGAATGCATTAAAATCTATCAAGATCTCAAAATACCTTGTTCACTCTGAATTTTACACAGTGAAGGCTTCGTGGAGGAGAAAAATATCACCATACTATTGTCATGTATAAACATACACACTATACCACAGGCATCTAGTTAAGCTAAATTTTCCTTCTTTCAATTCTTTTACTTGGTTTTCCATGTTTTATTTTTCCACTCTTTAATTTTCAACATTCTTTTGGTTTAGATAAATCTCTCATAAACAGAATACAGCTGCATTTTGTTTAGACTAACAGATTGTTAGTTTGACAATCTGTATACATAGTTTTATTTATACAAGGATTATTTTGTCTTCTTTGAACTTTGGACATTAATTTTACAAATTTATTTACTAAGCTTGGAGTGGGTTCAGTTTTATAACAGATTCTGAATTTGAGGCAAGTTGGGGGCTGCACATGTGCACATAATAAAATTATTAATGATTTGGCACATTAGAACTACTTCATTGTCTAAGGAATATTTACTGTACACTGTTTTCATTCTGACTTTCCCAAGAATGTTAATAACAATTTGAACTGCAAAATGTACGAACACTCAAACTGAACAAAACAAGGTACACCTAGGTTACAAAAGAGTTTGCCACTCCAGTGATCCAGCTTTAAGCGTCTTTTCTTAGACCATTTTCTTTATTGGAACCGGGCTGACTTGCTGTCAGATTACAGTGCCAAGTCTAAAAAGTTAAATACCATGGACAGCTGCTTTCCAGGCAGATGACAGCCTAGCGCAGAACAAATCGGGGGATCCAAACAGCATGGCCAGGCACTAACCAAAATGGGCTGGACCCCGAAACCCATTTGATTCTGACCCTCCGTGACTCAAGTTATTCTTAACCAGCCTCAGAGATGTTTAAGAAGATGACCCTATCATTTATGGTAGAAAACAAGTCTCTGGTTAGTATAGGTATTTCTAAACCTCAACCAACAGGCTTCTTCAGGCAAAATCCTTCACAATAAAATTCCAGGACAAAAAAGATTTTGGAGGTTTCCTTGGAGTTTATGGTAATATTTAGACTGTACATATTCTCTATATAGGAACCAGGGCTTGTGAATATTCTAATATGACAAATATTATATGCCTCTAAGAGTGTAACAGCCCGATTAATGATTCACTGGAGTAAATTCAACCTTCAAGGAATGCTTTGTAATTCTCAAATCTGAAATAATTATCCTGATTCACTTTTCATTTAAGAACAGAACATGAAAGCAGGGAATCAGCACTTATCGAACAATCCACATTGTCAAGGACTATGTTGGATGCTTACCATCCATTTAATAGTTTCCAACTGTATAAAGTAGACATTCTTCTTCTCATTTCCCAAATTAGGGAACGGAGGCTCAGAGACCTTCCTTAACTGGCCTCTCTGAAGCTACTGGGATTACCACATAGCTGGGTGTGAAGCCCTCTGCTCCCTGAGTCAAAGCCCTACAGACTCTCCACATGTCATGGCACTACAACTTTCTAGAAAAGACAATGATATCATTAAAGAAAGAATAATAACAATGAATTTCAAAAACCACACACAGGGTAGCACATACTGCTTAATGAAAATGAATGCCAGTTGACATTTCTCATGCTTCACAGTTGCCTCATGACATATATCAGCCATAGTGGAACCAAATTAAGATTTCAGCTCGTTTATGAAGGAAGCAGTTAGAGATATTTTGTTGCCTACAGCCCAGCAGTTGTAATTCTGTGAAGAGACCCATCTGATAAATTATATGAGAATATCTAAAATCATTTCTTCTACTTTCTCAAACTCCCATGCCCTGTAAAATGATGAAGCAGCTTTACATGAAAATTTGCTCAGTATTATGTCTTCCAAATTCTTGTACAGCACATAAAGATTCCACTAAAGGTCATATTTGGCTTAGGGTTTTTTTTCCTAAGTATTACGATGATGTCAGAGCACTGATTTCCATAGCAAAGGTAGGCTACACAGCCAGAAATTAACTCTGCAGCCAGAGGGCCACATGGCCAAATCCAAGGACCCAATTCTGGGATACTTTATGTTCAGGGAGTGGAGAGCAAACTACCATAAGATCCTGAAATCAGGAATATGATAAAAGCTGTAATTGCTGAAGAAGAAATCCCAGCAAAGATTCAAAAGTGAAATTGGCAAGGTGAAATCTCCTAAGAGAAATCAGATGTCATTATGGATTATTCCATCTAAAAATGTATGACTGTTCTGGCATTGGGGGATATCCAACAAGACACAGCTGTGTAAAAAAACACAAGTCTACTTCCATTAGTTATCAAATGCCAAAAGAAACAATAATGACTAAGTGGAATAAATCACAACTAGTTGGTATTAAAAGAAAAATAATACAATGAACAGATTTTGGGGGAAATCAGAAACAGGAGAAAGAGAAAGAAAAAGAAAGAGTAAGACATACTTTCTTTTTAAATTATGTGATACTCAGAAATTCTAAATTATAAGAGTACTAAGCATAACACAGACATGGAGCTGAATGACAACTGTGAAAGAATGTCAATCTGGACTGCTGACATACAAGTCCTTGGACGTGATAGTCATCTAACCAAGCAAGAGGTGATCTTGCCAGGACTACTTTAATGAATGGTTCATAACTGATTAAATGTAGTCTGCAACCCACATTTAAAAAGTTATTTCCTAAATGTGCTCTCACCCCCACTAAAATCAGAATGCAAAATCCTCCTGCACTCTTATATACCCCACTGTACTGCTCTGCAAGTTCCTTTCCCATAAATGTTGCCAGCCTAATCTTCAGCCAAAGTGTGTGTATGTTTATGAACTTCCACTGTAGTGTAATAAAAAAGGATGGCATCTCAAAAAGCTCTTTTACTGATGATGTGCCCAAGTAATTTATAAGCCACCAAATTACTTCTTTGTCTCTAGAAATAGCCTTTCCTTAATAGTAACTTATTGTTCTGATTGGAATAAACAGGGACTACTGATCAATCCGCTCAGGCTGAGGAGAGGGCTGAAGGGTTATCCTCCGGCTGCCGAATCAAGGCAAGGAAAGAGGTGCTACTGATGGCCCTGTTCTTTGCCCCCAGGGACGGGAGCTCATTTGTCACATCTTTTGCTACAGATTTTGCTAAATGATTTTTTAAACTATAGTTTCTAACAAACAACCATGTACTGAGAGAGATATTAGAAAAAAATGTAGTACAAAAACATGTCTCTTTTGCATGTATTAAATAGAAAGGTCACTTCTATATTATTTTTCTCTCTGTATTACTATTGTTTACTGGCACTTTGTTTCTATATCATGACTGCTAAAAACTATAGTTATCAAACTTGACCATAAAAGAATTATGTACACTTGAAATAGTATCTTTTTTCTTTCTTTATAGACAAAATCTCTTACACCTACTCAAACAGCTGTTTTTTATATACATAAGAATTTTCCCAGATAACAGCATGAAGTCTATGTATATAAAATATTTGGATTTTCTGTTTAAAATCATATTCAGCTGTTAAGATACAAACCAGAACTACATTTTGACAATACCAAAAATTTTATTGATCCTGCTTATTTATTATTTTTAAATTTACATTTTTGGAGATCATTTTCTTCTAAGTTCTTTATCAACCTGCTTCTAAATTAAGCAGTAGGATGGTCACTACTGTAATTAAAACTTTCTCAAATTCTACTGTAAAAATATACTGGATCATATTTCTTAAGGTGGGCAAAACCAGCCTCTATGAACAGAGGCAGGAGGCTAACTGGCTGTGACTCTCTTTACAGCGGATGTTAATCAGATCCTGGTCAAGGGATATGAAATGATTGTATAGATCAAGAAAAATAGCAATGGGGCTAGGGGTAGAGCTCCGGTACAGAGTGCTTGCCTTACAAGTGCAAGGGTGTGGGTTCAAGCCCCATCGCTGCAAAATAAAATAGAAAAAGAACAAAAACAGTCATGGCCAGACCTCTGGGCCCCAGCTGCTGAGGGCAACTTTAAAGAGATGGTTCTTGACAACTGCCACGAGCCCATTAAAAGGCATAAGCCCTGCACTTGCTAGGAAGTACATACCTTTCCATGAATATCAAATTGCTCACAAAATCATTAAGCCTAGTTTCTTGAAAATAAAAAGGCAAATAAATACTGAGTCTGCTCTGGGATGTTATGTAATCTATATGTTTGTATATGTAATACAAATGTTTTTATTCTGAAGCAAGTAGCTGGGGAACTTGATAGACATCCTGAAGAATGTCCTCAGATTATGTTTGGTAATGCCATGTCAGTCTGGCATCGCAAAACTACAGAACGAAATCTGTTATCTACTACAGGCCAAAATACCATCACATTAAAAGAAGTTGCAAATCTCACAAGCACAGTAATTCAGAACCATGGTCAAGAAAAGCACTGAATAAAAAAACATCACCACCAACCTTTGGCTGAACTTCTGGTGCTGCCACCTTGACGACCTTATTCCGACTTATCATTTGCTTCACCCATCTCTCTACTTGAACGTTGAATTTCATGAAAATCACATAGCCAACATAAGCTGTCAGGAGAAGCATGCTTTCCCACCACATGATAACATTATCCAGGAAAAATATAATAAGCATGATCAAGTCAACAATGTAGAAGGACACATCCCGAAAGAGTGGCCACCATGTCAGGTTTAAGATTTCTCTAGAAAACAGAGCACACATTCCAATAACAAAAAGGATATTGAACACTGCGGAGCCTACGATTGTGCCTATGCCCACATTGCTGTGAGCAATGAACACTCCTATGAGGGATGTGAAAAGTTCTGGGGCCGAACCCCCTGCAGCCATAAAGGTGGCTCCAGCCACATCATCAGAGATGCCGAGTTTTTCAGTGATGACAGTCAAAGAAGGAACAAAGAATTCATCACACACAATGGCCAAGGCTATGAACATGTAGATCATTCCTATGACATGGAGAATAATGGCGCCTTTTCTTCGCTCCTCTAGGGAAAAGATATCTTTAGGGTAGTCTCCTTGGGCATGATCTGTACTGTTCTCAGATTTGCCTTCCTGAGGGAGAGGTGGTTGTGAAGTGTGATCCTGAATCTTGTCATTTAAATCTAAGAGTGTTCTTTGACGGTAACTGTGTGCTACACTAGGGCCACTTACAACCCTGGCCTCTCCTGTGCTCTGTGTGTCTGCCTCAGAAAAGGCACTGATTGAAAACGGAACAGTGCTAATGGCTACCAGGCCTATGAAAAGGCCTAAGATTCGAATTAACTTCAGTCTTTTCCTGACACTGCGCTGTTTGCTGTAGCTAGGCAGCGATGCCTCGCAGCTCCACTCCTCCAGGAGACTGATGGCGGTGCTGTGGTGCAGCTCCATCCTGGGCATCGTGGTGGACATGGTGGTCTTCAAAGTTCAGATGCCAGCGGACAGTCAGTCATACTCTTCCTCACTTTACAGTTAAGGTGCTTGTGGGGCACTTCCACAACCAGGGCTTCTTAGGCTTCAAGGGAAATTGTCATCATTTATGCTAAAATAAAAGTAAAAACAAGAGTAAGTGATCATAAAATCCTATCTTTATGATGTAAAAAAGAACGAACTTCACACAGATAAGAGAAAGTCCTGTTCTGCAGTCATGGGTAAGTTACAATAACTCCTCTCTGCCTGTTTCCTCATTTAAAAAATACGGACAATTACAGCCCCCAACACCCAAGTTGTGTTTATTCCCTTCTCCTGTGCTGGAGATGGGCTGTTAGGCAAGTGCTCCACTTCGCACACTGCTTGATTCCCCACACTCAGCCTCTCTGAGCTCCATCCTCAGCCCCACAGGGCTCCTCCAGGGTGAGCGGGACATATGGAAGAGGAGACCAGACAGTGGGCACTCAAAACTACGTATGTGTAGACCCAAATAACCACTGTGATAAATCCAATGTTAGAGGTAAAATGGAGATGAGTATAGGTATAAAAGTTTATAGATGAACATCAATTTATTCACCTTAAATCATGTAACAACATCTTCCAATGCTAAAAAGATCCCACTTCTTTCAAGTTCTCGACATGTGACAACTACTTGCTATGTTTTCTTCCAGTACAATTACATAATTCTCTATTGTGTATACACTTTTCTGACTTAATCTCTTATTTGGAAAGGATTGGGTTTGGGACAAAATGGTTTCAGAATCTTATCTTTCATGAAAAGTCAGATGCAGAAAAGCAGCCCTTTAAAAATTTAAATTTGCAAAAAAAATGTTTTGGTGACATGAACAATCTGTTTTCTTAAAACAGCTACTTTTTGTTTTCTGTTAAAGCCTTAAAAAAAAAAACCTTTAGTCTATTTAAAACAGCTTAATAAAAAAAAAATCCCAGTGCAGTCAGATAACATGCAGGTTGTGTCATAGCAATATGCAGTTACACCTCTGTCCACAAAATCCGCCTCGAACAACCCAACACCGACCCTTCCTAGGCTAGACATCTAAAGCAGAATTTTCATTCTTGACTCCACAGAAAAATTGATAAAATAACCAGACACGACAGCCGATACAGCCCAGGTTCCTCTTAACTATTCTTTAAAGACATTTCTTCCTATATCAGGGATTTCATTTTAGAGGCATTCACCGAGATCATCTCAGGTGTGATATAAGCTAATTAAACACACGCCACTTAAAACCTGGGATTAGCTGGAGCCTGGGCTTGCAGAGCGCAGCAAGCCTGAAAGTCAGTGGGGGCCCAGGTGCTGCTCCAGGGTGACCCGAGCCCCTCAGTCCCGGCGGGCTGCGGGTGTGGATCGTCCGGACGCCGCCCGGCTCCGCGGAGCCAGCCTGCCTCCCGGCCGCAGCTCTTCGCCGGAGGTTCCCTCCGCACGCCCGCTGCGGCGCTCCGGGGACCCACCCACCCTGGCGAAGCGATCCCCAGCCGCGCCCCAACTTTGCCCGGTCCCAAACTTTCCCCCGAGGGCTAGCGGGCAGAGGGGCTGATGCACAGGGTGTCGCCTCCCAGGTCGGTCGTCCCTCCACGTCCCCGGGTGAGGCCCTGCCCCGCACCCGCCCGGGCTGGGGACTCGGCGGGCGGCAGGGCTTGGGACGCCCAAGCGAGGAGTTGGCCAAGTCCGGTGGCCGGGGCGCCGCGGCCGAGCACCTGTGCCCGCAGCGGGACGCGCACCGCGGAGCGGGGTAGGGGCGGCCGCTCGCTTACCGGGATCCGGGGCTCGCAGCCGGGGCCCAGCGCGGCCCGCCGGCTGGCGGCAGCCTCCGCCCTCGCGCCGCTCGGACCCGGGCTCGGCTCGGCTGCGGCGCTCCGCAGGGCCGGCGGCGGGGACGAGGCGCGGCGAGGACCGAGCGCGCAGGAGACTGAGGCGCACGGGCGGCGGCGGAGGACACCGCGCCGCGCTCCCGCCTCCCTGGCCGCGCGCCCCCTCCCGCCCCAAGCACGCCACCCCCGGCTCCCGGAGACCGCGTCGGGCGGGGACTGGCCGGGCCTGGTGGCCGACGAGGGCGGGGCGGCGAAGGTGCAGTCAGCTGGGCTCACCGGTCCGCAGCAGGCGCAGCACCGCGTCCTTCTCGGCGGGTCGTGGCCGGTAACCGGGAGGAGGCCGTTGGAGAGGCGCAGAAGCCCGCGGGCCAGCTGCGGGGTCCTGCTGGTCCCGGGCTTGGCGTCGCGTGCCGGACACAGCAGGCCCGGGTCGGTGCGCAGACTGGCTCCTGCGTGACACCCGGGAAGGACCGACGCACAGGTCGCTGGACTCGGGAAAGGTTCAGATTGTGTGCCTGGGCACTCAGCTCAGAGCTTCCTCCTGCCCGTCTGGAAAGCAGGATCCCCTGGACCCAGCGCGGCGGAGTCAGAGCTGTTTGGGCATCCGAGAGCCGAGCCAAGCCGGGCCGGGCGGGGGGGATGCGAGCCCGTGGGTGGCGGCGCAGCCCCGCTGTAGGTTCGGGCGTCCTGTGCAGCGCCCCCTCCTGCCTCTGTCCCGGGCTCCAGCCCACCGGGAAGGCTTCTCTCCACTGCCCGGCCAGGCTACTTGGGTTGCGTCCCCGCGGGCTGCCCAGGCTTTTTAGAGCCCTGCTCAGGACCCCCAGGCCCGGGCTGCTGTTGTCAAATCGAAGAGGCCTTGGGCGCTTAGAACTACGCAGTCCTGTCGCCCACCAGTCCAGGCATTCAGGACTGTTATCTTGCCAAGGATTTCAAAATCCTGGTTTGAAAGTCATGGGCTAAACTTTTTTATCTTTACTTTTTATTTTGGAAAATGTCAGACTTACAAACAGAAGAAAATAATGCAGTGAACCTCTGTCAGACCATCGCCATCTTGCGAAATAACCAATTCATGGCCTGTCCTGCTTCATATCTACCCCTCTGTACCTGCCTACCATCATCTTCTTTCATCAAATCTCAGCCATCCCGTCATCTTACCCCTAAATATTTACAGAAGACAAAATAGAAGACTAACCACTCCTAGTAGTGTGAAAAAGACTCGGAAACAATCCAAATAGGCTCCTGTTGACCAAAGATGAACCAATTCTAGCATCAAATAATAATAATAATTGCGATTCTTCCCAAACCATCAAGTATTGCAAGTTCATAGTGTTTCCAAAAACAACTCAACAGATGGATAACTGTTGATGGTTGAGACGGAACCAATTATTATTTTGAAAACTTTTAGAAAAAAACCCCAAGCAACCATGTATTTATTTTGCCTACTTTATACAAACTGGACCTGAGGCACTCAATTAGGTGTTCCTCTTGCCCTGCCTTTGTCTTTCCTTTCCTGGCTTAACAATGTGAATCTTGTTTAGGGAAAGATTCCTTTGGGTACATAGGGGAAAGTAAGATGTCTTGTATGAGGTTCTGCTTAAAAGAAATTGATTATATTTTTATGAAATTTTATCTGTAGCCATGTCACACTCCTTCCTGCCTGGATCTTTATCAACCTTACCTGCTCATCCCAACGCAAATGTGACCCGAGTGTCCATTTTATGGGGAGGGGAATGAGGTCCAGATGAAGAGGTCAAAGATGGAGGACAAAGACATGAGTGCAGGTTTTATTGATTGGAGTTTGCCTTTGGCTGCTTAACGGAAATGCAGCATTAGTGACTAACCAAACTAGGCAAATTTTTCTCATGGAAGAGAAAATCTGAAGTTGCTGTCTAGCTGAGAGCTTGCACAGTAGCCTCATCATGCATCAGGGAACCCAGGTCTTTTGATGTGTTTTCTTCATGAAAAACTTTTATCCTCAGGGCTTACAAACAGTTGCCTCTTTTAGGTATCACATCTGTGTTCCAGGTAGGAAAAAGAGAAAGATTAATGAGTGGAGGGAAAAAAACTTCCTTGCTGTTTTGCTTAGGAAGAGATGGTGTCAAAACTTCACCTCCATTTCCTGGCCACAGCTTGGTCACATGGTCGTCCCTAATTGCCCGGGGCAGGGGGGGGTGGACAGCGGGGGAGAAGAGCATCTTAACTGGGCTCATAGTCCCCTTCTACACTACCAGGCCTTTCTTAGTAATAGAGAAGGATGAAGTAAGTGTTGGGTGAGCAGCTAGCAGTATTTGACATACAGTTTCAAATCATCGTAATAAGATCTACACTGGGCTGAAGATTTGGCAGCTGATCAAGAACTTGGCAGTCAACCGCCAAGACAGTTGAGAAGGCTGGCACTGTAATCACTGTGGTATGGAGAGGGGTATGGGCTGCCATTTGTCCAAGTCACACACCCCTGAAGCAGAAGAACTGAAGAACACCTACAGCTTCCCCAGATCCATGGACTCCACTGCCTAATTACAAAGAAAAGGGAGCTTCATGAGAAAATGTTCTACCAGCAAATGATGAGTTTTGAACAATAGCATTGACCAATTCCTTTCCTAAGAGATTTAAGTAATCAGTGGGTCTCTTTGCATAAGTTAGTATTAAGAAGTAACCTCTTTATTTATTTTAGATATCTGCCTAAGTATAAATATTAGCATCATACTGGATGATTATTTGAATGATTAATTGAACACAGAGTTCATGGGAGTTATTGGCAATTACAGGTTAAGTATGGTGGGCTCTTAAATTCTGAAGAGAAGCCATTCAAAAATTAACAAAGAATTTTAAAAAGCATGGGTCACACTTAAGCTAATAAAGAATTTTAATGTTAGAAACTGTTAAAGGGCTACTAAGCATGCACACATTTTCACATACTGATAGAGGATGGCATGATTAAAATAGGTTGGGAAGATCTCTTCGCTCCCAGCTGAAATGGCATCCTTAAGTGGCAGGCACAGTGCCTACAATTCCACAATTAGAAATGCATTGCTTTGGCTCTTTATTTTACAGCTTTGGGATTTCTTTAAAAAGTAAATGATAGTAATGATTAGCAATTTTAAATTGCTTTCTACTGGACCTTTGGTCTAAAAGGAAAAAAAAAAAATTAGTAAATTACAAAGGGAAGCTGAGCCAGGAAGGTATGGGCAGATAGAAACAAGATGAAATGTTCAGATTTTACTTTGTCAATTTAACTGCCTCTTTCCTTATTCTCCTCACATAACATCACCTTTTTGTAGGTCTTTTGTTAGAGTCTCTAGCTTCTCTGCTATCAAAACTACAGGCAATTGGGCCACATGAAAGAAATTCAATATACACAAAAGCAGCATTTCCCAACCTTGACACGGTAAACATCAGAATAACTGGGAATCTTTTTGAGAGTACTGACCTCAACCCGACTCTTCCCCTTGAGGCCAAGAATCAGTCCATGCGTTTTCAGCATCCAGCACTTTGCTTGGCATGTGTTCAACACATATCTGTGGAATGAATTAGATGCTGGTGAATGTTATTCAAGTCAATCGGAGCATGGGAGTAGGCAGTGGTAAGCAAAGCCTCAAAAATCATGGTCACTTAGAACCACAAAGGTTGTTTCTCAGTTGCACTACGGGATCCTTTGTTAATTTTGCTATCATTCTCCCTCCAGCCCAAGTCGGTCACTCCTGGGAACATTGTCTGTTGCCATCATAGAAAAGATGCAGGGCAGATCTTGTGCTGGCTTTGAAGCTTCAGTTTGGAAGCAACACTTTACTGCTACTCAGTTCTCATTGGCTAAAGCAAATCACATGGCCAAGTCGAATCTATGTTCAAGGGAGTAAGAAAGTGCAAGTGTATTAGTGTTGAGGGGAAACATGGAAAGACTTGTAGCCAATGTAATGACCACCACATGGGTCACAGCAGTCAGAAAGGGGAACTCGTGTCTTATGCAAATACCATGAATTTTTAGTTAGATAAAATAACTTTTTTACCTTTTTAAAACCTCTTCTCTTACCTCTTTTCACTCTCATGGTTTTGTCACAGTTGTTATTATTGCTCCTATCTTACAGATGAGGAAATTACTGCTATGTGAGGTTAATTAGCTTGCCCAGGTTCAAACAGCTCTCAGTTGGACACAGTATTTGCTCCCAGGCCTGCATTCATTGCATGACTCCTCACTGCATAAGACTGAGGTTTTTCTTCCCTGCCTAATTAAGAGTTCGTTGTATTTTTCCTGTTGAGATTACACACTTAGGTGGTCCCCATGGATTTCTTCTACAATCAGCCAGTCCACAATTGAGAATAAGTGTGGTTCCTCTGAGGAACTGTTTTGCTTATTTAAAAACCAAAGGTATAAATATCAAAATACAATCTTGTTGTTCTGTAAGTATTCTCTTTGGGACTTCAAATGTGAGCTGACTTGATTTCCCTTTGCATTCAGCTCATTTTTTGGCCAGTGCCTTTTCCCTTCCAGTTCAATGAGAACCATAAAACAGAAAGAAAAAAAAAACAGTGGGAGTTGAGGGATAGAGTTCAGGATTCTTTGTTTTTTACTGCAGTTTTTGCAACAGCACATAAAGCCACACACCCAAAGTATGGCTTTCTTCTCTGTCTACGTAGGAGGTGAGGGGTGATAAATTTCTGTTTTTATATTTGGAGCAGGGCTTCTGGGCGCTAATGCTCAGGCAGCACCCACTCAGTGGACAGGGCCCAGAGGAGGCAGGCACAACGTATTGGTTTCATCAAGGGGCTGGGATCCGGAAACTTGGCTGCCTTTCTGGCTCCAGCAGGGACTCCCTAAGTGACCTCCAGGGTGCTGCCCCTACGTCTCTCAGAGCCACACTGGCACGGAAATAAAGATAATAAATCCTGGAAAAGGAGGATGCTGGAGAAGAATGTGGCTTCAAACAGCCCACTTGGAAGGTGAGCCAGGAGCACTTCCTTTTGAGAGGTCAAAGACTGTGCTTCTGTTGTCTTCTTGGATAGGCTGTATTCTGTTTTTACCTAACTCTAGTTGAGGATTTCAACATCAAGTAAAATTTACAATATCAGGAAGAAAGAGCCATGTGCCTTGAGGATCAAACACAGGTAGAAAAAAGCCAGCATGAGTGTGCTGCTGTGTTTTTGGTTTTGATTATTGAAATAAAATGGTTTTGTTCAATACACAAAATTGAAATAAATGTATCCCTAATTATTTTCCTGGTTTGAGGGTGTGAGTGTGCAAAGTTGGAGCAATCCCCACCCCCACTCCAAATAGTGTGCTGTGTGTGGTGGCCCTGCAGGACGTGTCCAGCGCCCAGTACCCACGAGCAGCCTTCCCTGACAACAGTGGGGTTCAGTCAGTGAAGCCGTCTGGTGTTCATGCTTGCATCTTCCAGAATTCCGTTCCATGAGTAATAATGGTGATGGTTTCTCTCCACCTGCCATCTTTTTTCTTTTTTCTCAATTTGTTTGTTTGGGACCAAGATGACATATATTGGGATCAGCTGACATATATTGAGTCCTTCAACTACT